TAACAATATCCAATAAGCATTCGTAATAAACCATTTCTTTTAGAAATAGTAATATGTAAAACTGTACGAGTATGTATCAGAAATGCTCCTCTCCTTTGTAGTCCCTACTGTAAGAATCTCGTTTTGAAAAGTAATAATATCAACGGTTGGTTTCATTAAAAAAAAATCGGTTACGTCACATATAGTGCTCAGATTCCAAGATGAGTAGCTAAAGCGCTCGTATTATGGAGTATGTGCCATCGCCTAGTCAAGAAATAGACCATGGGACATATTCATGCATCAAAGAAGTAATATGTATGTACCTCATTGTTATGTCCGTGATATTTATAATCAGACTTGTGTAAGTACACTTGACACCACATTAGGTGACTACTGAAACCATAAATTTCTGCCATAGCTATAAAGCAGGTCAATTTGGCTAATGTTTACGTTATAATCATTCGCATCTCGATAGAATCTCAAATACTTAGCCTTTGTACTATCTACCTAATGTTCTGGTGTGTACTGGTGTTTTGTAATAACCTTATGTGTTCACTAAAGATAAATATTACATTTTAAAATATAATCATATTTTTTGCAAACTGTAAGCAGAAAGCATATCATTCTAACTTTGACTTCTTATTTAATTTGTAACATATAATTCTCAATACATATGGTGCACTTCGTACCTAGCTATAGCAATGTTAACCAAATCAGTGACGCTCCTGTATTGTCATGCAATGCAATTGTATTTTCATTTAAGACTTGAATACAGTCAATAAATATTAAGAAATTATGCTTTTTTAAATATTGTTTTTATAGCTGTTTGGTTTTGTGCAAAGGACTACGATTTGTTTTAGAACAATAGCTCAATGTACATAAGTTAACCAGTTTTGTATTATTTGACTGAATTTTATTTATTACTTTTACTTTCATTTTATTTATCAAATATCATCATTATCATCATCATCATCAGCCCTTTTACATCCCCACTGCAGGGGCTCATGCCATCCTAATGGATGGTTAAGGAGGATTGGCCATGACCCTCCACGATTTTATAAAATACTAGTGGCCGCCAGCGACTTCGTCCGCGTTTTCCATTTTTTCTTCGCTCCCAACAGTTGCAGCGTGATGTTATATAGCCTTAAGCCTTTCTCAATAAATGGTCTATTTAACACAAAAATATTTTTTCAATTCGTACCATTAGTTCCTGAGATTAGCGCGTTCAAACAAACAAACTCTTCAGCTTTATATTATAGTATAGATGAAAAACTGGCCAGAACAATCCTTCTAGCATGATTCAGTATTCACGCGCGATGGCTTATTATTAGCGTATTTCATGTATAACTTTGGTGTTTCTATACCGATTTCTATCATTCTTTTTTATGGAATACTTAATACTGTTAACTTTTTTAATTAGGGATGACTGATAGTGTTATAAACGTAAGAGTAGACAATAGACAAATACAGTCAGAAAGCTTCGAACTGCTAAGCTATAAGGAGTTACACGTGTTATTGTGAGTCAACCATAAAAGATAGACATATCGTGGGATATTTTTTATATAATTTTAAGGAGAACATTTTCGTCATACATGATTTCTGGGTAGCTTTGACCATTAAGGTTGCACACGCGACGGAAGCTTAAAAAATGGAGTAACTTCTCCCGTATTCCCAACATTTCCCTTCACTGCTCTGCTCCTATTGATTGTAGCGTGATGAAAAGTAAAAAAAGAGAAATAATATTTATGTTAAAAGCGACTTCAAGAAATTTCTATTGCAGTTATATATTGGTTTTAATTTTTAAAAAAAGGAAATCATTATGCATAACGTTTTAGGCTTCTAGGGCTAGCGAAAGGTAAAAGCAAAATATAGCCGGCAGCACGTGACCGACTGTTTCAGCCTCAAACTTAATTTCAATATATCAAAAGCTACATGAGAAAAATAAGATAAGTCAAAATAATAATTAGATTGTTAAGAAATATTGCAAAATATTCTTTCACGGAAAAGAAAAAAAAACAGTAACATCAGTTTCATTTGTGCTATTTGCGTATTATAATATTATCAGTTTTCTGATTCTGCAATGAATTATACGTATAATCGCCAGGTTAAATATAACAGATCAATTAAGAATAGAAATATCATGATTTTAAAAATGATTATTTAATTTATTGTACATATATGCGGACTGAATTATGTATTGACGTTTAACAAACTTTGTTTAATTTTTTTTACATAAGCTACCTTCTCCTTTCTCCTACAGTTCATAATGTTGACATTATATGGTAAATATTTCTGAAGTCTTAGAGTTGCCAAAAGATAACTGATAGAAGCTGACAAAAATCACAAAGTTCTTTTGTAGGGAAACCAAATGGCTTTAAAACATTACTTTGAGAAAACATCGCTGACTCCACCTTTATTCTAGAAACTTTGTTTTACATGTACCTCCTCACAATGGTATTATATGCGAGTTAGTCTTAATATCATAAACAACAAAACAATGAGATGTACCACCTGAGCAGTTTTGACAAAGAGGCCATTTTAGAATGCATGGAAATTTTTACAATAGTTTTTAAAATGTCTTAAATAGTTTTTCAATTGTTCTATTTTGTTTAATCTGTCCATTATACGTAAAATTCATTGCAAAAGCAGAAAACAGATAACATTATAATACACAGCACTAATGAAACTGCTAATTCGTTTTTTTTTTCATATTTCCTTGAAATAATATTTTACGATGTTTCTTACAAACTAATTATTATTTTACCTTATCTTTTTTTCTCATGTAGCTTTTGTTATAATGAAATATAGTTTGTGGCTGAAACAGTTGGTCGCTCGCTGCCGACTGCTTTTTGTTTTTACCGTATTTACACATTTATATTTATTATTTAAGTGAATAAGAGTTATAATAGTATATTGTAAGTTAAGATTTGAAGTACGATAAGTTGTAAGACAGCGCATTGAAATGAAATACATAGGAATGATAATGTATCAATAAATATATAAAACGTCAAAGTAATAAAGGTATGCTGTACTGTGTGGCCCAGAGACTTCAGATGTATTTAAGACACCTTTCGCAAGCCCAATATACCTAAAAAGTTATGTATATTTTTTTTTTTCAAAAAATAGATCTTATTTATTTGACCTTTGTCCTTTAAAGTTTTCAGACTTGTAGCACTACCAGAGCAAAGACTTTCATTTATATCCGACCAAAGTAACTTTCGTATGCGTCTTTAAGTTGTAAAAAATAATATAAGGGACTTCACTGACATACTTTCATCAAGTATTTATTCGTAAAATAGAACATAATCGTTGTCTTAGAAAGTTTCGCAAATATTGTAAAGAATGGCAAAAGAATAAAGAATTGTATTGTATTTTACTTGGTACGTGTCCTTCCCGTTTGTGTTACATAAATATAGCTGTCTTTAATTTTAAAAAAAATGCAGGTAATTGTATGAATTCACTATGTGGTTATGACAGAATAACAGAGGCAGTGGGTGCACTCCCCGTCACTGAGGCATAAACCGCTTTGTCTCACTTCCTATTACTTTGAACTTAAAGTTGTATTAATCATATATAGGTACCCGAGATGAATAAATTATAATATTACCATTATTTACAAATTCAGGGTGGATTTAATAAAAGTCTTCAATATACGTTACAAAATTTATTCTAGTATTTCTCAAAATTAACCAGCTTTAAACTTAGGAACAGAAATGTTCATACTATAATTCATTTGGATACATAATACGAACTTGGACATATGTTACATTGTCAATAAATCGGTATTACCGAATCAATCAATTAATAATTCAGGAAATAAAGCAATAGTGTGGCCAGACGTGGTTTCTTTGATTTCCTTGCTGCAGCGTCTCTCAGTGTTCATATAACAATATACCTTTATGCCATTTCAGTTCCAATTGTCAAATTAAGTGTGATAACTAAATATGAATTTAATATTTGTTTATTATTATAAAGATAACCAGTCCGCTAAGACCCATAAAAATAAAAAAAGACTATTCAGAATATATTCTGACCGATTTAATTTTTGTTAATGGGTTTCACAGCACTAAGCAAAGTTTTTATACAAAGATTTATGAATTTAATTTTGATAGGCTTCATTTGATTCGATTGGATAATGTTTAGGTGTTATAAAATGTACACTACATATTTCCACAATAAACGTCCAACACTATGTAGGGTTAAATCCAAATTTTTAAGTAACATCATATTTGATAAATAAAATGAAACCTAGAGTAAAAGTAATAAATAAAATTCAGTCAAATAATACAAAACTTGTTAACGAGCTCAATGAACAAACACATAGAGCTATTGTTCTAAAACAAAATCGTAGTCCTTAATACAAAACTAATACAGCTATAAAAACAATATTTAAAAATTATTATTTCTTAACATTTATTGACTGTATTCAAGTAAAAACATAATTGCATAAATAAACTCATACAAGAGCGTCACTGATTTGGTTAACATTGCTATAGCTAGGTACTGAGTGCACCATACTACAATGTATTGAGAATTATATGTTACAAATTAAATAGATTTTATCAGCAATCCATCATGCCTCATTTAAATGATAGTACATAAAATAATCAATGTCTGTCAGAGAGGCATCTCAAATTTGTGCTAACGCTTGTGACCCACCATTACAGCAAAATCTATTGACGACAATTCACTAAGTAAATATTCCTCATATAGCAACATATATATTCTTAAAAATATAAATTTCCTTAAATTTAGATAACTTGTCATGACTTTATATACAAATGATTAATATTAAAACAAATATTTGTTCTTTGCTTGGAATAAAATAATCACTTTCCATTCTGAGAGGTCATTATTTGTTTTTATAAACTATGTTTACAAGGCATTTTATAGTGATTATTCACACTGGAAGAATTTTATATCTCTCTACTTAACTCTAAAGATGAGAACACACAAATGTACATACAAAATCACAAGAAATTACTTATTATTGATTTATTTTTAAGTAGATTAATCAATTATTAAATTAAAATTGAATTTCTTTTAAAGGTAATATTTTTCTTTAGAAAACACATCAGGTTATTAACAAAGACCAGTACACACCAGAACTTTAGGTAGATAGTACAAAGACTAAGTATTTGAATGCGATTGATTATAACGTAAACATAAGCCAAATTGACCTGCTTTATATCTATTGCAGAAATTTATGGTTTCAGTACTAACCTAATGAGGTGTCAACTGTATTTACACAAGTTTGATTATAAATATCACAGGCATAACAATGAGGTATATTACTTCTTTGAGGCATGAATATGTCTATTTTTTGACAAAGCGATTGATATTGTTACATTTATTCGAAGATTCCCATTGTCAGCAAATTGTTGTGCAAGAGAGGTATCAAATACGAGACAGTCAGAATTCAGCAAAGCTTCATCATCTTTCTCATCAATGGATCTAGATATCGCTTCCCAGATAAGAGGACGATGATGTCCTTTTAATTCCAATCGATACGCAAAATTTTCTGCTTCTTTGCGTGTCCCTATAAGTAGTACTTTAGCAAAAAATTGCTGATGTCCATCAAATTCCTCTTGTTTTCCTAGTACTAACATAAAATGGCGGTTGAAACAAGACTGCATCATAACCCAGTCGACTGTGCCTGGCAAGTTAATGTCGGTGGCTACGAACACAATTTTTTCTCCCTGCAGGGTTTCGATACTTTTATGAGACATCGTTAGATGGGGCATCACTTGATCCAATCCACCTTGCCACTTACATGGTGCTTCTGGACAAGGACATGAGTATTTTCTGAATTTACAAGCTTCTTCGTGTTCCGCTTTTTCTGTGTACACAAGAGTGGCAGTACAACCAGTATTAGAATGTTTACATGGGAACATGATATACCTAGCAACTTTTTCCATGGCAAGGTTTCGTATGTAACCGAGGCGCCTACGGCAGCTGGGGCAGCATGACAGCTTCGGTCGGCAACTGGAGCAGACGAGATGCCCGCTCGCACATTGCAATATTGGAGGTAAGATAAAATCGAAACAAACTGTACACTCAAATAGAGATGCGAGAGCAGCGGACATTGCGGTCGGGGCTTTTACGAGAGCGGGCACTCCAGTCACTGAAGATCTGGAACCGCTTCTTCCACGCCGTTTGTTGTTTGTGCTCATGTTACCGTCACGCGCACATAAAACCTGTCGACAAAAGAAAGCATTAAGCATTTTTCACTATCATATTTTATTAAATCTAAAAAAATTCAAACCACTATGTTACTGGCTAAAAATCAGATTAATTAGACAGTTAATTTTTGGGATGGGAATTAACTTTAAACTGTTCTTTCGGAATTAGCATCAATAAATTCATATTTATTAAATTCTAGCTTTCCGCCAGTGGCATCGCCAAAAATTAAATTTCGCCCTAACTTCAAAATTAAGCGTCTAATTTTAATCATTCAAAGACCAAATATTATCTACATAAACTGTACTAAGTGATGAAATTTATTTAGATAAAGATTAATAGCATGAGTAAATAAACGCCTTAAATATAGTCTAAAAAAATTCAAAATTTTTAAATAAAAAAATGGTTGTTGTATCTCACTCGACATAGATAGGTATAGTCTGTCGCGGACTGTTTTGTAGATTGTTTTTGTTTTATATTTTATAGTAAGGCAGCGTACGCAAAATAAGTATCTTTTCTGGTTGTGTTATTACACATTGTGTTCGAAAAACCCAAATATTTTACGGAATTTAATTTTTTCCAAAATAAAATATAGCCTGTGTTACTAGTGGATAATGAAGCTTTCTTTTTTAAAATTGATCTAGTAAATTTTGAGACTATTCATTACGAACAAACATACAGATTTTCCTCTTTATTATATCACTGCAGATTGTAATTTTGATTTATAATTGATAGTCCGGCAACTACTTAGTATGCGAGTTCGTAAACTTCATTAGCCTCTTTCCCAACAATCCGACGATCGAAAACTAAATTATAGTGTTATTGATTGTACATATTTAAAATCATAAAAAATGTGTCAAGTTATATAATAATAATAAGTCTGGCCTCCTCTGCCGGGGGGAATCCTGTCCCCCCTCGAATCGTCGAGTGGTCCGGAACAGTAAATTTTATACTAAATAATAATAATAACTTTATTGTCATATAAATATACATCATCAAGGCGATGTGAAGTCTCTGACCTCTGTGCTAGGTATAACCTGAGTGACAGAAGTCAGCGCCCTCTTCCATATTACTAGCAACTAATTATTAATATTAACGATAAGATACAATTATGTTACTTAGTCTAATCCAGTACAATAATAGACATGTAAAGGAAATCATGTGTGATGAATAACACGAAGTATTAGTGATAGCATTGAAACAATAGACGTTAGTGCATGGAGGAAAGGGTTAAAACACTTTGACTGTTGAATATGGATTCCGTTTGATCATAGCTCATGGCGAGTAGCCATTTCTATATTTTTGTTTTGGCTTTGTTAAGAGATAGTGGGTAGAAATTGACTTTTTTATTAATTCTATTGTAAAGAAGCCTAGATAGGTATTTGTGTTGGCGACACACGAAAGCCGTACGGTGTTTAGGGAGACTCCAGACGTTAGCTATGGTACGCTTATTTTTATAAAGTTTAGCATCAATAGGAGTAGCTTTGTGTTTTTTTAGAAGTATTTGTAGAATGTATAGTTGCCTGACTGTTAAAACTTCACAATTGTCGTAGAGTAACCTAGTCGAGAATCTAAAGGGACTGAAAGTTATGACTTTAAGTATTGTTCTTTGAAGAGCATAATATAAATTTCGTAATAGGTTGAAATCTGCTACATGTCAAAGTCGCTTAAAGGCCCAAATAAGCTTTCTGATACGAGTAGCAGTAAGTTTAATGTGACTAGGCCAGTTAAGGTTTCCATCCAGGGTTACACTGAGGTATTTAATACTATAAGTTTTGTTAATAGTGAGACATGAACATGAGCAGTCAGAATTTTCGATATAATTACAAGTATGAAATTTTAGATTTAAATTTAATTGAATTTTTGAGGTAATATAAAATTGTAAAAAAATAGTTTTTGAGACATTTAAAGTCAGCATGTTTCTTCTAAGCCAGCAACCAATCTCATACAGTCCGTTTTCAGTCAGTTGTTTGACCTCATCCCAAGACCCACCATGAAATATAAGAGCCGTATCATCAGCGTAAGTGAATATCTTACAATTGAATAGAGATTGTCGACATAGCTCATCAATACAAATTAAGAATAAACTTGGGCCAAGGACACTACCCTGAGGAACTCCACATATTACAGGTAATTCATCACTGACATAGTTCCCAATTTTAACTTGTTGTGTATGGCCCACCAAGAAGTCGCGGAAAATATTAAGAGCATTATTCCTAATACCGAATTTTTTCAAGTTTGTTCTCGAGTCTAGAGATCGACACTGTATCAAATGCCTTAGCCAGGTCAAGAAATACACCAAGGCTTTATGTAATTGCTTAACATTGGAAAGAGTGAACCATATTAAGTATCTTGGTATACAACTTGATAACACTTTGAATTGGGATGTTCAAATTGCTCATCTTACATCACGAACAAGAAAGCTAATTTGGACATTTAAAATACTTGGAGACGTGCTGAAACCATCCTCGCTTAAAAGCATCTATCTTGCATTCGCGCAATCAATCTTAAGTTATTGCATATCAGTATAGGGTAATAGGGAGCATGTAAAACTAAAATCATAAAATTAGAAAGAGCACAAAGATCAATCCTCAAAGTAATGTCAAAAAAAAAACCATATCGGTACCCGACTACTGTGCTTTATCGTAATTGTGCAGTTCTCAGCATACGCCAACTGTTTATCCTTCACGCCATTCTGTATAAACACTCTAAAGTTCCATATGACTGAAATAGCTCCATATCAAGAAAACGTAGAACCGACAGAGTCTTTGTCAAAGCAACTCATCGTACTACTTTTGTTAGAAGACATTTATGTTTCCTTGCACATAATTTATACAATAAAATAAATAGAATATTAAACATCCGTAATAAAACTCGTTATAACTGCAAGTTGACTCTAGAAAAGTGGTTACTCACACTTAATTATACAGACACAGAATCATTACTAATATCTCCTCGATAGTTGCACTTTCATCTTCCTTCTGATGCATGCACTTCTATATTTATTTATTATTTATTATTATACATACACTTGCAAGTTCACAGATTTTATGTCCAACACACATGCAAGTTATACAAAATGTCAAGAATAATAAGAAATGTCAAATTAAAATTTGATAAATCCATTAGCTTAGCTTAAAAGTCAAAATTAAAATGATAAAATAAAATATAGAGAAATAAATTACAATTTGGAACACTACAATACATGCCAATTCAAATAAATAATGTCAGTATGAATACACAATGTCAACTATATCCTGCTGCTGAATTCTATAAAATTTAGAAATTGTCTAGTCATAGCTACTAGTTGTCTTACACCATCCACAAATAAATCAGATTCCTCGTGATGAGCGAGCATGTCACCGATCAGACGCATTGCGCGTACTGTGGGTGCCTGCGAAGCATAAACAGTACGAGTGAGAGGTCGAGGGAGAAGACGCGGCATTCGTCGTGGTTTCACTAAACCTGCAGCATCGCTCGAAACACGCATGGGAACCGAAATGCTCACCTTTTCTAATATATCTGGGCAATCCAGTTTGTTATAGAGCACAGAGAGGTAATGCGCAGCGAGAAGAACTTTTCTTCGATGTGCTAGGGTCTCCAGATTAAGCATGCCTGATACAAATAGAGACGGGTACAAATACGGGTAATAGCCGTAGATTTTTTTATATAGCCAGCGTGCATACTTTCTTTGTAGTCTCTCAATCATGAGTTCATATTTATCTTCGTGCGGATCCCAAATAACTGCTCCATACTCAAGCTTACTGCGAACATAGGCATTATATAATACACTAGCCACGGACATATCACTGAAATCGGATGATGTTCTTATAATAAAACCTAAAAGCTTATTTGCAGATTTACTAATATTAATCACATGTGTGTGAAAGTCAAGTTTATAGTCTAAAGTTAGTCCTAAATCGCGAATTTTATTTACTCTTTCCAGAGATACGTCAGATAATTTATAATCCACTTTTATAAAGCTTCGTTTTCGCGTGAAAGTAATAGTTTTACATTTGGTGTTGTTAAAAGGGAGATTGTTATTACTGCTCCATTCCGATACAGCATTTAAGTCCATTTGCAAACTTAGTGTATCTTCAGCGCCTCTAATACCGAGATAAAGTTTTAAATCATCAGCAAAAAGGAGGCATCGCGCTGTTTTGACAGTCTCGGGCAGATCGTTAATCATGATCAAGAAAAGCGTCGGCCCAAGCGTACTTCCTTGGCTTACTCCAGATCTCGTATAGTACTTTTCTGATACAAATTTTCCTAGTCGCACAAACTGGCGACGATCTCTCAGATAATTTGCAAAAAAGTGGAGAAGTTTTGGTACAAAACCCACCTTTGCCAATTTTTGCAACAAAATGTCATTGTCTACAAGATCGAATGCTTTCTTAAAATCAAAGTAGGCCGCATCCACCTGCTTACCACCATCCATCTCAGTGCTAACATAATCCACGAGTGTTGTGAGATTAGTGACAGTAGAACGCTCTCGGCGAAATCCATGTTGACTGTCATGTAGAAGGCTACTGATTTGCTGGCTAATATAGTTATTTAATATAGATTCAAACACTTTCGCAAACACAGAAAGCACAGCAATTGGTCTATATCCGGTAATGTCGGGGCTTGGTTCACCTTTTGGAATCGGTATGACGCATGAGAGCTTCCAACGATCAGGAAATTTTGATTGCTCCAAAGACAAATTATATAAATGTAGTAGTGGAACGTTAAGTACTTTTATGCAATCCTTGATAAAGAATATAGGGATCCCGTCAGGGCCCCCAGATGATCTCGTTTTTAGACGTTTTACCGCTGCGTTCAGATCCGCTTTGTCCAGTGTTGGGACAACTACTGATCTTGAATCGATGATGGAATATGCAGCGCGAGCTGCATCATCGGGATTCAAGCGCGGTTCCTCATCCAAAAATACCGATCCAAAATATCGCGAGAATGCATCCGCAGCTGCTTGCTCGGTCACTACATCATCCTCGTAGGTGAAAGAATCAATGTTTATTCTGTTCTTTCTCCTGTCCTTAATGTATGCCCAAAACTTGCCTGGGTCCTTTATAATATTATTTTGGACATTATGCATGTGACGCCGATATGCGTTTCGAATCAGTTCCTTGGTATGCCATCTATAGTACCTATATAATTCTCTGTTATATAATTTACCTTCCGCTTTATATTTTTTTAAATGAAAATATTTATGCTTTAATTTGATTTTTATGTCCTCCGTATACCAAATTGGATAAATGAACTTTGAATTGACATATGAATTTTTATTTCTAACTGGCACATATAAATCAATATATCCATATAATTTAGAGTAAAATAACTCAGTTGCATGATCCACGTCTTCAACGTGCAGCACATCCGACCAATCAGTTTCAGCCAAGACAGCATAAAGTTCCCGATAATTTGCCTTCTTCCAATTCCAATTCGGACAAGTGTCCGGGCGTATGTTAAGCGATTGAGAGGTCTGCGGTGAAGACACCGCTGGAATTCCTATTTTCGTGGTTACGTCAAGAGACGGGTGATATGCATCAATTGGTACTAATGGTTCGACATTTAGAGACACTGTTACCTGATCAGACACAAGATCGCTCAGCACAAGATCTAACATACCATCAAATTCATTTAATATTCGGTTGTGTTGATTCAGTTTACAGAAGTCCAGAAAGTGATCAAATTGTGTTTTAACATTTACACCAAACGAATTTAAATTGAAATCTCCAAAAATCAACACATTAAATTTAGGATAACAACAAATTAT